CGGGCCCATCCCACGCCTCTGCCACGTGTCCTTTCTGTAGCCAGATGCCACGGCTGTTCCAAAGACGGAGACCTCTGTGCCCACAACTGTCACACAGAAGAGGACCCCAGTGCCCACGACTGTCACACGGAAGAGAACCCCAGTGCCCACGACTGTCACACGGAAGAGGACCCCAGTGCCCACGACTGTCACAAGGAAGAGGACCCCAGTGCCCACGACTGTCACACGGAAGAGAACCCCAGTGCCCACGACTGTCACACGGAAGACGACCCCGGTGCCCACGACTGTCACACGGAAGACGACCCCAGTGCTCACAACTGTCACACGGAAGACGACCCCAGTGCCCACAACTGTCACACGGAAGACGACCCCAGTGCCCACGACTGTCACAAGGAAGAGGACCCCAGTGCCCACGACTGTCACACGGAAGAGGACCCCAGTGCCCACGACTGTCACACGGAAGAGGACTCCAGAGCCCACAGTTGTCACACAGAAGAGGACTCCAGTGCCCACTATAGTCACACAGAAGGACACCCCAGTGCCCACGACTGTCACACCGAAGGAGACTCCCGTGCCTACGACTGTAACACAGAAGAGGACCCCAGTGCCCACGACTGTCACACAGAAGGAGACCCCAATGCCCACAACTATCAGAGAGGTGGAGACCCCAGTGTCCACGATTGTCACAAAGGAGGAGATCACAGTGCTCACGCTTGTCCCACAGGAGGACATCCCAGTGCCCGAGGTTGTCCCACAGGAGGAGGCCCCACTGCCCACGGTCATCCCACAGGGCCTGACTCACGACAAACATTTCTTCTTCCCTGTGCTCATCCCGGCCCTGCTCATGTTCCCGGTGCTGATCTGGTGCATCTGGTGCTGCAGGAGGGTGAGTGCCCCCTGCCCACTGCCCTGTGGCCCAGGCCCACGGGAACCCCGCAACGGACCCAGACGCCAACCTGCCCCATGGTCCTGCCTGTGGGCAGGTTCCCGTCAGCTCCAAGGTCGTCACATGAGCACCAGACGTGCAGGCTCTGTCCTCCATTCCAGGTCACAGACACAGCCTGGGCTTCTCAGGAGCCTCCTGCCTCATACGTACCTCAGGGAGGTGGCCTACGGGCTGCCCTGCCCCTGGGGAGAGGTGACCCTAGGCCCCTGAGACCAGGGCTGCCTCACAGCGGCCAGGCTTCTGGAGGACTCAGGTGGACCAGAGCCGAGAGGAAGCCTCTGCTGTTGAGGGAAGAAGGGGGGTCTGCAGGAGGCACAGAGGGCCCCAATGGGAGATTGATGCTGGCCGGTAGGATTTGGAACCTTTGAAAACCAGCATGGGTCTCTGCACATCTCTAGTGTCTTCTGTCACTCCTTCCTCAGTCGTTACTAAGCACCAGGACACGCTGGGCCCCCTGCTGGGCACAGAGGGACAGAGTGGGTGGCCACCATCCTTGCCCACAAGAGCTCACAGCCTAGTGTCTGGTCTGGCGTTGGTGCCCGGGGCTATTGAGGGTAAAATGTCAACCTTCATAGGGTGTGGCAAGTACCCTGTGTAACCAGAGCAAGAGCAAAGGACAGGGCCTGGCCCGGGGGAGGGAGGGAAGGCAGAGGCTCTGGCTCGCTGGGTTTGCAAGGACACATGCCAGAGATCTGGATGGAGAGAGAGGCAGAGGCAAAGGCAGAGGCATGAAAGGCCTGAGCAAAGCCGCAGGAAGCAAGGCCTTAGGATTTCTACTAAGGGGGAGCAGCGAGGAGAGAAAGCCCAGGGGC